ATCGTCTAATTATTTATTATTTCTGGTTATGGTAAAGTAACATTTATACTGTAGTCTGTAGCAAAGTTTAGTTTACGAATTTGGTTTTGTTTTCCTAGTTTTAATTGTCTAAATCCCTGCATAATAAATACTAGTTGAATGGATTTATATCAAACCATGCTGGGTGCTAATAAAGTATCGTTTAAAGATTTGTCAAGAACAATAAAAGAACATTATTTTTAAATAATCTCCGTGGACCATACTTTTGTTGACATCGGGTCAATTAATAATTTTCCCAAGCGGATATATTGATAATGTTACTAGTATTACTCATCAATCAATACTATTCTTATATTAATCAATTATGGCCCTGAACAAACATATCATATACAATTTTATATACTAATTCATTATAATCAGATTAAATCATAAACATTTTGTAATTATATTCCTGCAGTTTTAAGTAAAACGTTTTTTTCCTAAATATCTACTATACATATAATAAACGGGTGTTCAAATATTAATTTTGTGGAATATATACAGTGTGTTCATAAAATATGGAATAAATTTATTTTCTTGAACTGGGATTTTATTAAAAAAAAAATGCTCAAACACGTCGATCTATTTTATAAAAGAGGCACATTTTAGGCATATTACCTTGCCTCCAGCTTCACCTCCTGAGTGGGTTAGGTTAGTTTTTGTAATGGGAAGGGGGGTCGAGTGATACCTTATTTTAAAGGTCTCTCACTCCAGATTATAGTCCTAGAGTTTGAAGTTGCTAGTGTCATCTTTGTTAACATGACTGCTTGTCAAAATTCCTAATTTTCTTAGTTTTGTCAAGCTGCCATATTAACAGAAATTATGATAGCAACTTCAAACTCTAGGGTTATAATCTCTAGCGAGAGACCTTTAAAATAAGGTATCACTCAACCCCCTTTCAATACAATACAAAAACAAGGGGTGCCACTCACCCCCACTCGGTGGGTGAAGCTAGAGGCAAGGTAATATGGTAATATGCCTACTTATATCATAAACAAAGTTTGAAGTTGCTACCGTAATTTCTGTTAATCTGGCAGCTTGACAAAACTAATAAACTTAGGAATTTTGACAAGCTGTCATGTTAACAAAGATGACACTAGCAACTTCAAACTCTAGGGCTATAATCTGGAGAAAGAGATCTCTAAAATAAGGTATCACTCGACCCCCCTTCCCATTACAAAAACTAGGGATGCCACTCACCTCCGCTCGGGGGGTGAAGTTAAAGGCAAGGTAATAGGCATAAAATGTGCCCCTTTTAAAAAATAGTTCGACGTGTTCGAGCATTTTTTTTTACTAAAATCCCAGTTTGAGAAAATGAATTTATTCCATACTTTATGTACACACTGTATATATCAATATAACATAAAACGGAGATGTAATTAACGAAATATCATCGTAACAACAGCTATTTTAGAAACGTCTAGGTTTTATTTTTTACTGAGATTCATGAAAAAAATATTCTTTGCCTCGGATTCAGATACCGCCACGTTTTGGAAATAGCTCAAAATAAAACAAAATTGAACGAGGCAACAAAAAAAACCAAAATGTTCCGAAGAGTTTTTCGCATAGTGTAGACGCTGTTTTAGGAAGTATAATTTGTAAAAAAATTTAAAAATAAAAATTAAAAAGTACCTAATTATTTTGATATCTTCAGAAGGTCTAACTGGTATTATAATTTATTATTCAAGTTAATAAAACTTTTTAGATGACTTCAACTACGGTAGCTAATATAGTTTTAGGTACCGATTTTGCTAGCGGAGAGATAACTGGAGTCTTTCGGTTATAACGAATTTTTTAAAGGTAAATAGTACTACGTCAGATGAAGTGAAAATTAATTTTAAATAAGCTCTATCCAAAAGAAGAACTATTATAAAAAACAGAATTAGAATAAACATCACATTAAAAATATAAAGAAATGTTTAATTCATTTAGAAAAAAACCCTACCAACAAAAAACTGCTCGTGCTATTAACAATTGAACTTCCGCGAAAAGTTTAACTTGAAAAACTTAATAACGAGCTGAAACTTGTTATTAAGAAAATATTGTCAGCTGTGAAAAGGAGCTTTGCTGCGCGGAACCACAATCAAGTTTTTTGCTAAAATAAAATCAAACTTTGAAATTTACTTTATGGATTATATCGGTATTAGAGACATCGCTCTAATGGACCATTTTATTCTAACTAGTGTTTTATGATTATATAATATTTTTAGTTTGTATCTTTAACCTAATATTTTTTTCTCTTATAGTAAAATAAAAAGTGCACGAAAATTTTGTTGGAACTTTAAAATATTGATAATGAGGACGTCATGGTAATAAAATATGTCATTACGTCATGACCATACCAACAGGTATGGGAGGCTATTAAGATCGCCAAAAAAAAGTTTTCTTAATTTCACTCAAAATGAGTTCATAAATGAGTCATAAATGACCTAAATACAAAATATTTTCTCATGGTGTCTGTCCGTCTGTAACACGATAACTCAAAAACCGCTAAACCGATTTTAACCAAATTTGGAACAAAAATACTGTGGCACCCGAGAATGTGGCCATTAGTTTTTGGTGGGGTGGAGTTGGTAAGGGGGCATGGGAGGTGGTTAAAAATTTAAATCGTTATTAACTCCAAAATTACAGTAGCTAGCGTAACGCGGTTTTCAATTTAAGATTAGGAATAACATTTGCAACAAAATTTGTAATAACATCAAAATGCATGTCGCAGTTTTTGAGATAAAAAAAAATGGAAAAATTCCTTAACATTGAAACTAAAAGAACTGCCTACCAACTTTTTATTAACATATTTTAGTAACTCCCGGCGCTAATTTTTTCTAAATAGTATAGTCGCTTTGCTTTATATTGATATAACATTTTTCATAAAAAACTCATTACACTGTTTGATCTCTGGAAAGTTTCTAAATACTGAGTATAGACAAATGAAACAAGTTAACCGACTTAAATTATATATTGAGACAAAAAAATACAAATAAGTACAAGAGAAAGATACGAATTTATCTAGATATTTGAAAATGCTATGTAAAATGAAAATCATAAAAGATTAAAGATGTTGTATAGTTAATGACAATTAATAGATGCAGGATGACTAAGAGTAAAAAAATAGTGTAGGACATGAAACATTACAGTTTGGATGGAACCACTCGTGTAAGAATCATCTAAAAAGAGAGTATTTTAACATTCGAAATTGACTTTCGATAAATATTAAGTCGAATTTTTCTCAGGATTTTACCTGGCAAAACGTTTTAAATCAGAGTCAGTCTGGAATAAGTTCCGGATGCATATTTTTCAGAAGATTTATGTAGAATCTTGTTAGAGATGCTGAGATTGATGAAAAATGGGGAAAACTTTATCAAATTACAATAAAAATGGTCCCGATCTATTTTAAAAGTCATTTTGACTTTTTTTTCTCTTTATTAACATTAGTAGAATATAATCTGGTCTTTTTTATTCCATTACTATAGCTTTCCCGACTAACTTCTACCGCCTAAAGATTCATTCAGAACCTTGCAATTAGTAGAATAAATTAGTGGTCTCAATTAGCAGAAGTTTGTTCTTCTAATTTGAATGTAAGCCACACAGAACGTCAAAATTAGTGGTAGGAATTTTCAATTAAACTTCATTCAGAACCTCACAATTAATGGAATAAATTAGAGGTTTCAATTATCATAGAAATTTGTTCCTTTAATTTCAATGTAAATATTCAGAACTTCAAAATTAGTGGTAGACGCTTTCAATTAGTAGAAAAAGTTATTAAACTTTTAGCTTCATTCAAAACCTCGCAATTAGTGAAACACATTAGTGGTTTCAATTAGCGTAGAAGTTTGTTCCTCGAATTTTAATGTAAGCATTCAGAACGTCATAATTAGTGGTAGTGATTTTCAATTAGTGGAAAAAGTTTTGACTTTTCCACTAATTATACTTCAAAATTTGGGAGGAATGTCATTTTGGCCTTTGATTATCACCGGTCAAGAAAAATTTTGGTTAGAAATCAAAATTTTATTGTTTTATAAGCTAAATACTATGCTTTATCTATGGATACAACAGACTACCGCAAGCTGTTGCTAGGATATTTTATTAATTTTAATTGTGTTTTTTAGGCATTGTGAATGATCGTAAACTAAAAAGTATAAAGTGCAATTGAAACTACTAATTTATTCCAGTAATTGGGAGGTACTGAATGAAGCTTTAAGCTTCATTCAGAACCTCGAAATCAGTGGAATAAATTAGTAGTTTCAATTAGTCGTAGAAGTTTGTTCATCTAATTTTAATGTAAGTATTCAGAACGTCATAATTAGTGGTAGTAATTTTCAATTAGTGGAAAAAGTTTTGACTTTTCCACTAATTATACTTCAAAATTTGGGAGGAATGTCATTTTGGCCTTTGATTATCACCGGTCAAGAAAAATTTTGGTTAGAAATCAATCAAAAGTTTATTGTTTTATAAGCTTAATATTATGCTTTCTCTATGGATAGGTACAACAAACTACCGCAACCTGTTGCTAGGATATTTTATTAATTTTAATTGCGTTTTTTAGACATTGTGAATGATCGTAAACTAAAAAGTATAAAGTGTAATTGAAACCACTAATTTGACCACTAAATGAGGGTTAACTGTGAAGTGAATTGGAGAATTTATTTTGTAAAGCTTGGTGGTGCACGTGTGCATTCACCCATCGTAAATGATGATTTTAGCGATATATTCGTTCAATATACAGTACACTGTGCTCTGGAAATAGAAATATTTAAATTAAATATTTTCAATTCAATAGATATACGCAGACTAATCTGGAAAATGGCAGTTCTAAAGTGAAATAACATTTAATTGATTTTTACTTTTGTGATATGTTACGAACGGTCTATCAAATATAATAATTTTATTTCAATTTTAAATTGTTTTGTGAAGCGTAAAAAGTTGTTTGGCAGCATTTAACAATTTCACATGACAATCAAAAACAGATTTATGAAATTTTAGACTGAGTAGTTTTAAAATAAGTATTCAAGTTGATTTCTCATTAAAAATATGAAAAAAGTTCCTGTAAACATGGGTATGGAAATGCATGTTTTAGAGCTACAGGATGTTGTTAAAAATTTTTAAAATCAGGTTTTTTGTAATTATCTTAAATACCAGTATTTATATTTTTATTTCAAATTGCTGTAGGTTGACCATTGGTAATAGCTAATGGCAATAATATTTACACAGCCTTAGGTAAAATATATAATTTATTAATTTTATTTTTATTTTAATTTTATTAATTGTGATATTGTGGTTAATAAATTTGCAATCAAGGAGGCTGAATTCGACAAAATATCAAGAGATAACTTTTAATTGGCATTAAACGGCCTACACAATTTTTGTATGAAAAGAAAAAACTCAGTGGCGCACATGTTATATTTTTGAAAATATTCTAATGATAATATATGCACGTCCCTGATGAATTTATCGACACTTCTTTTTTAGCATTAAAATATGTAGCACTTATTAGTAACTTTTACCCTCAAAATTTCATTCAAATTACTAAAAGTTCTTGGAAGAAAATTATAATAAATCGAAAGATTATTAAGACTTTAACACCCTGTAGCTACGAAACAAAGCATAATCGGACCTATGTTGATATGAAAAATAAATCTTATTTTTACATGAAGAATCACAACCCCCTGTATAAAAAATCCACAATCCAAACACCCTGTATGAAAACTCATTAAAACGTCGAATTTTGTCCCAAACGAGAATATTTAATCGGGTAAAGATCTAATCATAGAAAGTTTTTTTCGTCACACTTACTTTACTCATCATCTTTTAATTAAAAATCAATATGTCCTTAAATAAAAATAAATTGATTTACGTAAAATATACACACCTCCAGTACTAGCAGGTGTCGTACTGGGTACGGGTGCGGGATTATCGTTCAGTGGACAGCACACTTTGGGCAAAGTACCATCGAATCCGCAATGAGATCTCCTAAGTAAATCAGTACTGGCTGAACTGAGAGGCTTGTTTTTAAGTAATTGGAACAATGGCTGACACGAAGTTATGGTTAAGCATTCTCCCTGTTGCCTATACGGTGTTTGACAAAAATCACCAATTTCTGTAACAAAAATGCCAATTTAATAAAAATATCACTCTATTTGTTCTATACTAATTTTGTGAATTTAATAATTTTAGTAATTTTTAGATTTGTCAACACTTCTAGGACATGGGACATAAAATACATTGGAATGGGCAACTTTACAATGAAACCCAAATAAGATGTAGGCAGAAATACATCTGAGATAATATCTTTCTGGCAAATCTAAATTTTTTATTGTATCGGCTAAGAGTCCCAACCATTATGGTACAAACAGAAAAATAAGTTTTCAAGAACTTTTAACGCAAGTTTATATAAATCTTAATATAATTATCCGTTCTTAGAATATCTTGATACTATTAAAACAACAATATTATAGTTAACAGTAATTTAATGCATAATTCAAATCTAAACCGAAACCATTTAAGTGAATAATATAACTTTTAACTTTACTTGATTCACTTACTAGTACATAAAGAAAGTAGTATATACACTCTTGAAGCTAAGACTGATGAGAAATGTGAGTGAATAAGTGTTGAATATTTTGTTTGTATTATTGGCCTAATATGTTTTAGTAAAATACATATTATAACTGGATAAATAATTTATTAAAAATTGTATAAAAAATAAAAATGTTAGTTTTTGTTATTTTAATATGGATATTTATATTCTCAGTTTCCAGAAAGATTATATCTGACTATCTGAGTCGCTTAATATGTACATAATTTTTAATAATATAAGCAGGTAATTGTTAGTTACAATCAAGAAATTATTAAACAATATTTTCAATACCTCGGTATTAAAACAAAAATTTCAGGTGTCGTTGTATATTAAAAGTGTTTAATATTGGTAATTCCTTGTTATGCTAGAGATTTTTATTTTTTCGCATTTTCATTGGGATATCCCCATAAAAAGTACTAATGATCTTTAATGATGCTTAAAAATATAGGTATCCCATATATGAGTAGGTATGTATACAGGGTGGTCCGAAATGTATTTCGGAAACTTCGGCAGCATATTCTACAGATAAAAACATGTAAAAAAGTTTGTATAAATGTATGTCCTAAAATGCTTAATTTCGGAGATACAGGGTGTAGAAGTTTCATTTTTATTTCGATTTTTTCCAAATAATTTCTGAAGTAACGTCAATATTTGGATGAAAATTGGTGTCTGGGATTTTTTTCACATGAGAAATTTAATTTTGATGTCAATATGACTCCTACATGTAGGGGGCGCCACCTATATATTTTTTAATTGGTTTGAAGAGTAATAACTTTTCGTCTGTATCTGTATAAAACTGCTGTGTACAAAATTTTTTATTTACGGAGTTTTTTACGTAAAGAAGGTCTCTTGGTAAAAATCGCTACGAGTAATGGTTCTCGAGATATTTGGAATCGAAATTGTCAATACCTGTCATCAATGACGTAAATTAAACATGTTGACTAAATAGTTATTAGACTGAAATCATAAATTTAAAATGTTTTTGTGCCAAAAGTTCAACAGAAACTGTTTTATCATCATTTTTTCGAAGGAAAAATTATGATTAATTTAAAAAAAAATGTTCCCAAATTTATAATTTCACTCAAATAACTATCTACTTAACATATATTTACTATTTACCATGGATTGACTATTTCGATTCTATATCTTGAGAAAGGTTGCTTGTAGCGAACTTGTGAAATGTATATTTTTTCACTTAATAGTTTTATACAGGTACTAGCGTGTACCAACGACTTCGTTCGCGTCGAATTAATCATTAGTAATGGTGATGATAAAGCAAAGCCAGAATTTCCATTAACATACAAACTGGATAAAATTTTCTCACATTTATGTCAGCATAAGAAAAAACAATAAGCGACATTATTATATAACTTGGTAATATTTGAGGGGTAGTTTCATCTCGTTGGAATTTGACTTTCGAAAAATCCGTTTGCCAAAAATAAGCTTTTTACGTCAAGCAGTTTAAGCAGAATCGTGGTTAAGAAATTACCCAACTTTTTGGAACACCCTGCAGGATTTTTTAAAAAAATTCAATATGTAAAAAACCAAATAAATTATGCTTGTCCAAGCGTTTTCCCGAAAGACTAACCGTTTTTTAAATAACAAATATTGTAATATTTGAGGGGTGTTTTCACCCTCTTGGAATTTGAGATTCGAGAAACCCCTCCATATCGAACCTCTACACCCCACAATCAACCCGTTTGCCAAAAATTAGGTTTAAGCGTCAAGCAGTTTAAGCAGAATCGTGATTACCCAATGGTCATATTTTATGAAACACCCTGTATAAATTTATAAAAAATCTTAAAATATGTAAAACCACAAAATAAAATTAAAGTGTTTAAAGGTTTTTTCGAAAAACTCACCGGTTTTTAAATAAAAAATATTTTAATATTTGAGGGATAGTTTCACCCCCTTAGAATTCGAGTTTCGAAAAATCCCGTTTAAGCGTTTTTCGGAAACTTGGCCGTTTTTAAATAAAAATATTGTAATATTTGAGGGGTGGTTTCACCACCATGGAACTGGAATTTCGAAAAATCCCTTCTTATCGAACCTTTACACCCTAGAATCAACCTGTATGCCAAAATTGAGCTTCTTACGTTGAGTGGTTTGAGCAGGATCGTGATTAATCAGTATGTCAGTCACTTAAGGATTTTATATATTAGTATAGATATACTGACGAAAAGTTATTACGTTTCAAAACAGTTAAAACACATGTAGGTGGCGCCACCTACAAATAAGAGTTATATTAACATCAAAATCAAAATTCTCATGTCAAAAAACTCCCAAACACCGATTTACATCCAAATATTGACGTTACTTCAGAAATTATTTGGAAAAAATCGAAATGAAAATGGAATTTCTAGACCCTGTATCTCCGAAACTAAGCATTTTAGGACATACATTTATACAAACTTTTTACTTATTTTTATCTTCAGAATATGCTGCCGAAGTTTCCGGAATAAACTTCGGCCACCCTGTATAATTTATATTTTTCGAATGTGTATAAGGTTTACGCGTTTAAAGTAAAAATAAATGGATTAAAAAGACGTATAATTTGGTACAGTTATTCCAATTCGAGGGAAACTTTCCGATTCGTGGGAAATTTCGAGATCCAGAGAGAAGAGGAAAACTTTAACACAAAACACCATATTCGTTCGAGATTCTAATCTAATAAAAAGTTATCGTATTCAGGTAACTGAGTAAATCGAACCCCTTTTATAATGATACCCTATTTTGAAAACCTCGTAATTTCAATTTTTGGCGAATGTTATATGTTATATTTATACCTTTTTTCGATAAAGACCACATAGTCTACCAGTTTATTGCATCGTAAGACAAAATCGAATTATTATGATTATTGCGCTGTCTGTGGACATTTTTTTTCACAATTAATAGGAACAGAGCTCACTTGAAAAAGTTTTTGTTTCTCCGGTGCAAAAACAGGTTTTGGGTACTTACTATGTTTTCAAAGTAATGTATCGTAAAGCCATTATCGCAAACTAAATACATCTAAATCTCTCACTCGGTAACAATAAAATTTTGCGCATCAACTACCGCGGTTGTCATACAGGACGCACCTCGGGACGCACAAGGCACCGCGTAGACCGCCTAAGCGGCTATAGTTTGTCTAACCAGAAAATCCACAACTGACAGCTGTGTCTTTCATTTTAACTCAGAGATAAATTTTATTTTCTATCGTTTTTTATGTCGTCTGTCTAAGTGCTGTTTCACATGGAGAGGATCGTCCGCGCGGACCGTCCGTCCGTGTTGTTTGTCCGCGTGTTTTTCCAAGGTCCGACGGAATGCTTTTACACAAGCTTTTAAATCTGTCGCGAGTAGATATGTATTTGCAGAACAGGCAAACCATTTTTGTCTGCTATAATAATTCTACGAAGAATTCAGCGGCCGTGCTTGTTTTGTTTTAAATTTTAAGGGAAATTAATAAAAATATTTGTAAGCCGAATCTCATGTTCCACAGCGTAAATCAATAGCTCTGTATCAATTTTAAAGGTACTTATTATTATTAAGCTGCAGAGACGCTTCTCGATATAAATTGCAACGCAGCAATTGCTCCGCAGCGGACGGTCCGCGTATATATGAAATAGCATATTTAAAAACGTAGCCGCTCCATGTGAAACAGCACTAATCTTCTCAGGCTCGTTCAATTCGTTTCGTCTGATTAGTCTGATGAATGGGTTTAAGTTGAAGTCTTTTAATTTTCTGCAAATACAGCTAATCTTAGCTAATTAGTAGGTACTAATTAGCTAAGATTGATAACGTTGCATTATCTTTTGAAAACGTCGCCTTATTTTCAAGTTTGAAAAATGTCCGCTAGGTGGCGCATCAGAAAACAATGACGCAGAAAACAAGATTTTGAATTTTTTGATGAATCAGAAAATAAGATTTTTCTCCAAAATATGCATGTGCAGAGGTATTTTAAATATGTATTGCTATTGTTAAGTGGGAAATCTGTTTTTTTATATCGCATATATTGCTCTATCTCATAAAATAAAGTGGTGGGGGAAGTTTAAACTTGCTTTTATTAAAATAAAGATAACTCTGGTTTAGGCTAGCCGATTTAAACAATCTAGAGCTAAACAAAGTGCTTTTCTTAACATTATAACAGATATTGCGCTTTTGCATAAAAAATCAATAACTTGTTATATTTATTTTTGCACAGTTAAATTTCAGAGCACACAATTTTCAAAATATCAGCGCCAAACCGCAACTCTCTATCCTCTCTCTAACGGGATATATTAAGAAAACAGATTATGTTCGGCTGTCGCCTAGGATAATAAGATCTAAATTTTTTATAGTAATAGCATAGTAATAGGCTAGGAAACAAAAAGAGTTAAATTAGTTAAGCCAAAATATCGAAATATTTAAGTTTAGTTTTCATGCATCCGAATCTCAGAAGTTTTCTGGGTACAAATGACGTCATGCAGTTTTAAACGTGTTTATGTAACATTACCATCCATCCATATATTTTTTTCGAATTTTCTTGGTTAATTTTACGCAGGGAATTTTCAGATTAAATTGTCCGAAAGTCAATCCGGACAATCAATTACGTTGTTTAAATTTTTAGGAATTTTGTGCCGCCCCTTATTGCTTTTAAAATAATACGCCCGAATTTGGTATGGCAGAAAACTAGGGTTTATTTTTATGCCAACGTCATTCAGTTATTAATCCAAGCTCTTCTTTGATTTTTCTTGTTTTTGTCTTCTATATAACTGTCTAAAAATACATAACCAACTACATATTTAATTTTTTTATGCAAAAACGCAGTATCTGTTATGATGTACCCTGGCTACCACAATAAAAAAAAATTATTTAATTAAAGATTAAAATTACCTATTAAAATAAAATTTATACTGTAGATTATATTAGGGAAGAAAATCTCTTTTAAACCAGCCTTAGTTGTTTGTTTAAATCGGCTAACCTAAATCAGAGTTATCCTTGTTTTCCATTGATTCACCTGCATATTTTTGAGAAAAATCCTATTTTCTAGTTACCCCCTAGCGGACATTTTTCGAACTTAAACATAATTTCAAGCTATTTCTCTTGGCCTTAATTTACTTATTCCATTTTTCCCAAAGTTATACGATCACTAGTTTCTGAGAGTCTGAGATACAGCCCGCATCCATTATTAGTTGGTCACCCGGTACAATAGCTTAATACATTTTGACATTCTGAAATAAGTATTTTTTCTAAAACAAATAAAATATCCCCCACTCAACACATATTGGACAATATGGACAATAAAAAATAATAAATAAATCTTTTTTAACTCATTTGAAATTGAAATTAATTATGTAGATGTTTTTTTTTAAACAATTTAAGTTTTGGTTCCAAACACTCTCTAAGTTTGAAAATCGCGTGTTGTTAATACTGCAATGTTAAAATATGCATAAATAAGCAAATAAATATTAATAATAATTGCACTAAATTACATACTCTACACATCATATCCGATTCATGACGTCATATTGTTTATAAATAGTTTATAATATGTTTGTTTGAATCTTAACTGGAAGAGTAGTTTTTCTTAGAAATAACATCGATATAATTAACAAATTTCTTGAATTTGTTAATTCTTATAGAACAATTTACAAACAAAAGATAAATATATTTTTATTAAGGCATCTCGTACAGATTTTTTTAAATTCTCCAATCAGTAGCAATAATTTTAGTAATTCAATTCAATTTATAGAAAAAAAAACGTCATTTAAGAAACCAACTCGTGTAATTACTACTCCTAATACAGCAGCTTCGGATTGTTTACAGCAAATGAATTATTTATATCAATAATAAGGATATTACAATAACAAATTATATAATTAAAAATTTAAGATATAATCTCGTACTTACGAGCTGAACTAATCCTAAATGCTACGCAAAATATCACAGACACAACTAAAGAATACATCACAACAACTGGGGAACAAGATTTGTTTTTGAACACTGTACTTTTGCATGCAGCGTAAAAATAAAATCAAGTCCGTCTTTAAGATTAATGGTTTATCTACAGGCTGACCTATGCCGGTCTATGCGAGGCGATTTGTTGCCGCCAGAAGGAAAAAACGACATTGGCAGCCTTGGAAATCCCAGCGGAGTAAGTAAAATGTGCGCAAAGAGCGGTTGCGTGGTCAAAATGAAATGTAATCGTCAGTTCTGGGTTTTGCGGCGGATTGGTTTACAACTATTATCTTTGGTGTGCAATCATAATCAATAATATAATACAGGGTGAGTTGTCTACGATGTTCTCTATGAGTATCCAGGGCCGCTTTATCCATTAGGCAAGGCGGGCTATTCCTTAGGCCTAGGGCGCGCGCGGCAGGCTGATGAGGCGCGGCATTTTTTAATGAAAACAATTCGGAAAAAAAATATGTTCAAAAATAAAACATACTGCGACAATGTCATATTAGTTTTGAATTATTAAAATGAAATATCAAATATTTATTAACAATAAAATTTGTGTACATTTATGTAAAACGATTCGAACAACTCTGACAAAGAAATGCCAAGGAAAACCCCTTCTTAAAAATATAATTTTTAGTTTCAGATTATTATTACGCTTTTTTGATCGGTTTTATTGTCACTAATTAATGTTAAAATTTGTTTTTGTGGAGTTTATGTTAATCCCTTTAAAATAAAAATGAACAGGTCGCGGTCGTGTCAAAAAATTAGCAACAAATGAGTAAATATTTTACAATTTAATTATTGAAAAAACTGTTTCTGTTGATTTTATTCAGCATGTTCAATTTTATTATTAATCATAATGTCGTGCGACATACTACAAATATCTAATGATAAATTATGATGGACTAAAATAGCCAAAAAAAATGAAAGAGAAAAGTTTTTTAGAAAGAGATTTGATGTCTGTATATCAATTAATCATTTCACCCAAGTTCATTTTTCTTCTGTTTATATTTCCATTTGTTGACAATAATAATACTGTAAGAATATACATATGGTAATATATTTTAGTAAATGGGGCTTTTTGAATTTCCTTGAATATTCTTTTGAATTTCCTTGAATATTCTTTTGAATCTCCATAACATATGTAATTTTTTTACAAAAAGCATCAACTTCTTTTAAAAGTCAATAAAATATTTCCGTTTGTTGACAGTATCAGTGGCGGATACAGAGGGGGGCCCATGGGACCCGGGCCCCCCTTAAAATCTGTGACTTGTGTTAAATATTAGGCTTTTGGGTTAAAAATGGCGCACTAAAAAGCATATTCTACATTACTTTTTATTTTGGGCCCCCCCTAAAATAAATTCCTGTATCCGCCCCTGGACAGTATATAGGTATAACCACGTCTAACTAATTTTACTGGAATTTTTATTAGTTGACCGGCAAAATAAATGGTGTCTAGGGTATCAGTACACCTTAACGCGGTCCTGTGGGTATCTCTGAAACTACTGGAGCTAGAGAGTCGGTAAAATGGGGAAAGAATTGCAGTTTTGTGAGGACAACAGATGTGTCGTTCGGATTTTTGAAAAAGTTTATGGCTTACTAGATATTTGGAAACAAACAAATTTCGGGTATTTTGAAAATGCTTCCTAATTCCATTGTAATCTATTTTAGACAGAAAGTTTTCGCAAACATTTTTTTTCAAACAAACGGCACAACCATCACCGCAAACTAACACCTAACCAACAAAATAACAGCACTTTATAGTAGCGCTGTTATAGCTGGCTAGTTTGAAAACTAGCCAAGTATCCATTTTAACCGTAACATATCTATATAATATTATTTACAATTTTAATCTATTTTTATATTTTAATAAAATAATAGTATAAAATTTTGAAATATCTCAATACTGAAAAGAAAGTAAACGTGGTAACACCTACCATTAGAAACGCGATTCGTAGTATTTTTTCGGGGTGCAGGGATGGTGGTTGAGTTAGGTGGCGGTTGAGTTGGGCATCCAATACGCTTCATTAGTGGTGACGTCATGTTGCGGAAAGTCAGTGTCGCTGACTCCAAACAAGCTCTGTATCTAATGGGTCCATCCGATTTTTCGTAATTTATTATTTTATTACTGATTTTTCAGGGATACTTGCGTTTTTCCAAGTAAGTCTTGAACCTTACAAATATCTTTTATAGTTTAATAATAATTTAATAATTTGTATTTCTTACTTTTGTAATTTTCTGCTAATGTAATCCTAGCGACAAAAATAAAAAATAGAAATAGTAGAAGTGTCTAGTCCTAGAAGTCAACTATTAAGCTTGACCAATCAGGTCGGTTAGCGTGGTTATTTGGAGTGTGTTAATTCATTTGTGTTTGTCAAAAACCCTAACGTGATTGCTCGGGCTTAACAGTTGCCTGCTAGGGCTAGACACAAGTGAAATAGTGTGCATGGTTCATTTACAAAAATATCTGAAAAAATGGGGATTGGCATCAACGAAATAAAGAAAATGTAAAAAATCTCTTTCAAGCATATCGTAGCTACGGGAGAAAAAAATCATGGTCACAAAAATCCGGAACAGGGTTTGACGATATATTATAAGCCAACAAAGCCCCCATACTCATATTAGTATAATATACTTTTATATAAAACTACTTACCATTTAAAATCAAAATTTCTCAGATTTTTTAAATGGCACACCATTTATATTTTATTATTTTTCTGATGGGTTTTACAAAGCAATTCAAATTTTAATTAGTATGTCATGTTTCATAAGTTTCAATATAAATGACATAATAAACTTTAGGTACTCTATTGTTGACTCATCTGCAGCTTGTTCAGTCATATTGATCTTTTTCGGCTTTATTAGAAAAAAAAACAATTTATATTATTAAAATTCAATTTTATTTTAAATTCATGCAAGAACAGATAAATCTACTTTTAATTAGTAATAAATCATTCCTACGAAGTAAAATCGAGAGTAAAATCGACTAGTTTATAATTTCTTTTAAGTTTACAGTAGACTCTCGATTATCCGAAACGTGCGGGACCGTACCCGGTTCGGGTAATCGAATTTTCGGATAAGCGGACGTGAAAGTAAAAAAAAACAATCTAAGTGAAATAAAAAGAATCTAGTGTGGACTGTTTTGTTTTACAACGTAAATTTTTAACAGCAATATTTCTCCATCTTCGAATCAAAAAAAGGTCGGTGGCTGTAGCTTCAGGCTGCTGTTCAAAAATAGTCGGAAATGACTACAACTTTTGTTTTTTAAATGGTACCCTCGGTATATTTTTACTTTATTCGATAGAAAATGACACTCTGAGTAGAATGACATATCATATGTCAACTTTTGACATTTTCGTTTAAAAACAAATCGTATTTTAAATTTCAATCTAGAGTGCCATGGCTGCTTTAAAAATACTAATTTTTAATCAAGGAGCCTTGGAAAAATAAATTTGATCATCTAATTTTTTTCGTGGCTTGTCCTGGCCGGTTAAAGATACCCAAATCGTATTTTTAATCATATGTCATTTTTTTCAAATGGAAGTGGCTCATTAGCATATCTGGAAAAAGCATTTTTTACAAATAATTTAGTACGACACACTTTTGGTATTTCGAGTCAAATTGTCGTTATAAACCGCATGTTACAATTTCAAATAAACCATATGCGAAAATGTCAAAAGTTAACATATGATATGTCATTCTATTCAGAGTGTCATTTTCTATCAAATATAGCAAAAAATATCGAGGGTGTCATTTAAAAATCAAAAGGTGTTGTCATTTCCAGTGAAACAGAAAGTGACCAAAAACAATTAACTGAATACGTCAATCAATCCTAATTTATGTCATATACTAAAAGAACAAATCTCGTTTTGTTATCTGAAAAAATAAAAAAGTTATAGGGGGTGAGCCACTTTTGAGACGCACCCGGTAGGGGGTCAGTTATTTTGGACATTCTCGATGGGTATCTAGGACACGACAAAGAATTGCAGTTTTATAAAATCAAAATTATGCCCCTTTCGGATTTTTGAAAAATTTTAGAGGTTACTAGATATTTCGAAATGAAAACATAGCTGCTATTTAAAAAAAAATTGTGGTGTGTTGTTACTGTTATGCATAATGGGTGAATTTCTAAAATCGCATGGACGAAACGAATTTACAAAGGGACGAAGCAAATGGGCGAAGTGTGAGTATGGGGCTTTATACAATTTTTCCAGATCTAAATAAAACAAATAATAACAATAAGTCTAAATAACCTATTTTTTTTAAATAAAACTAGTTTTAGTGCTTACTTAGCTAATCTGTCTGTATTTTAATAAATTCTTTATTTAAATAATTTTATAACAGCTGGAAATGTTATTCTATGTTTATTTCGTGATCTGATCTAAAATCCAATCCATATAGTAAGTAACATTGGTGTAGATAGCAACACTAGTGCCGCACAACCTGGCACCGTACGAAACTATTCCCATAAGGTAGTATTTTGGTGGGCCATCTAATGTGATAGCCTTCATAGCTGGTCCACCAGAATCACCAACACAGGAATCCTTTCCAAAAGCTAGAAGATATTTATAAATATTAAAGGAAAATATACCGGAAAAAAACAAAGAATAAAGAAAAATACGAAAAGAAAAAGGTGAAATAATAATAAAAAAAAATAAATTAAAAGAGAATTAGATTGAAATTAAAATTTCGGACTTCCATTGTCTTTATTTATTTTATTAAACATGTTGAACACTAGTTAAAACTTTATGTCATCGAGCAAACATTATATTATCACTTAATGTTCAATTAAATAATATTAAAACGGATTTGCTTCAGAATGGTTACTCTGAGAAAGTGAGAAGTCTCTAGACACAATTTTATCAAATTGTAAAACTGACTCATTCTCATTGGTTCATCGACCTCTGACCATGCTCTCTCTCTCTCTCTCTCTCTCTCTCTCTCTCTCTCTCTCTCTTGACCATTCTATATTATGTAAAAGAAACGTCAAAAAAGATTAGACGAATAGCCAAAATGTATAACGTTAAAACTTTTCTTATATAGTATAGCATTAAAAGTCTTCAAATTTGGATCAACTCTAAGAAGCGTCCTAACAAAAACCAGGCCGGAACCTTGTGCCAGAACCACAAGAACCAAGAGAAAAAGTGCCATCTACCGGGTACCTTGTGAATGCGGGGAGTCGTATATTGGAGAGACTAAACGTCCTAAATGTATGACTTAGCGAGCGCAAAAAACATGTACAAAAAGGTGATACAACGAAGTCAAAACAGCACAATCTAAAGTGGTCGGAACAGGGAGTAAGTACATGGGGCAATGCGGTGTGCAACCTAGGGGCATTGTCGGGCAGTGCGGGGCAATGTCAGGCATTGCAGAGCATTAGGCATTGTCGGGTATTGCGGGGCATTGTGGGCAGGGTTCGGAAGTAGTTAATTAAGACGTAATTTACCTGATTAACTACGTGTAGTTTTTCTTCAAAAACTACGTCTTTTCTCGTTCATTAACTACATGAAAACTACGTTAATAAACTATGTATTGATATTATGAATAATTTTCCTTTGTATGAGGTGTAATAGAGATAATATGATGTAAATATTATATTTAAAGCCATATTTCTTCTGTTTTCTTAAATACATTATGTGTTTTTAAAGCTTCAACTTATTAAAACCTCACCTCAAACCTTTGATATTTGAAAGTTACATACAAAACTTACATAAACTACACCCTCTACATAAACTACATTAACTACATGTAATGTAGTTTATGTAGTTTTTAAAAGTAACATGTAGTTTTCCGAACCCTGATTGTGGGGCACTGCGGGGGTATTATGAGACATTGTTGGGAAATACAAGGTACTGTGAGGCATTATTGGGCAATATGAATCATTGAAAGGGCAATGTGGTGCAATATTTAAGCTAAGTATATTGCGCGCGCATCCTCCCACCATCACTTTTATTACGTGATTACGTCACCAACACTCAAACGGCTTGCAGTCGTCAGCGCAACGGGTCGACGCTCTAGCTCCAGCCAGCTTGTTTATTGTTTCGGAGTAGGTATTCAGTGTAGTTCTTGTCGCAGTATGTATATGGGAGTTCATTTTAAGCGATACCACTATTGCTATCTCCAAAATGGAAAGATCTATACGGTCGGTTAAATTAGGGAAAAGTTGCCTGTCTGCAGTTTCTATACCTACCTATAAATATAAACTGTTCGTCTGTTATTAGTCCTAAGTTGTTTTTGCGAAAGCGAATTTAGTTTTTATATTTCTGTTATGTGTAGTTTTTTAACAATACGAGGCCAGGCAATGTTGGACAATACGAGGCATTAATGGGCAATACGGCATTGTTGAGCAATGTAGGGCATTGTCGGACATGATTGAGTAGGAAGGGGCATTGCGAGGCAATATTCGAGTAATCGAGGCATTCATTGCCTTTTGGTGTACAGAAATTGGTCATGTACTTACCCCCTGGGTCGGAAGCTCGGGAATGTTGTCCATAGGGAACCTCATTGGAAAAAACGTAAATTAAAAGAAGCCGGTTTTATAGCCAACAATAATAAAAGTTTTAGCAATCCTAGTACGGAAAGATCTACCATATGACAACCTCTGATAAAACGCACCAATGCAGGCATTCTAAGTGGACCACCTCACTGTTGACTGCATCCAACTTCTTAACGGGAGAATGCGGGGCTGTTGCATAAAAGCTCAGTAGTTTTAGAAAATAGATTAGTGTGGCACTTGTTTGTATGAAATTACACTGGTGTTAATAAAAATGGATAAAGACAATGGACGTGCGAAATTATTTTAGTTTCAATAGTGAATCATTATCTACGACATTCAAAGAAACGATAAAATTACATTATTGAATTTTTGTTTTTTTCCCAAGGAAACCACTATACTTACATTCACCTATGCATATCTGTGAATAATTGATATGTGCCGTATACCTTCTCCTACAGTCGTTCAATGACACTACTGGCATAGTGACATGCATCATATTGGAGGGTATTTCAACGGTAACTGCATCAGTCAACCCCCAACCTGCCACTTGTATTTCTGTTCCAAGGGACATTTCAGCTTTAATATTCCTTATAATCGTGTCAGTTGGTAAACATATCGGCCGAATAAAATCTACAGAACAAATACGATTACAAAAAAAAGTTACAAAGCATGATCAAAAATGTTTTATCACAGCTTATTCAGTAGCATCTGGGTATCTTAGTTTATTCAGTATCCTTGTCTTGCCTACTATGCCGTACACATGCCAGCAGTCGGAGCTTGATACATAAAATAAGATATAGCAAATATCTAGGTATTTATGCAGATTTTCGTGCAAATAATCGTCAGTCGGTAAGCTGCATGGTTAGGAATAGGCTGTGATTAGAACTGGTCAGGTTTACTCTGTGTAACCTAGAAATTCTTGACAATGGCAATGAGAGCTGATGAAGTAACTTAATGGAGTTTTAAGAGCCCATTTTACTAGTCCGAAAAAGTAGCAAAATAAGCGTTCGGCATTTAACGTTTTATCACAGTTTTATGTAAAACTGGCTAGTTATTTTTACACAAATGGAGAAGGAAATTAAAGATAAAGGATTATACTATGTCCGTATTGTAGCACATTTTAGACAACTTCTTTATTTTTTAGATTTTGATGGTCAAACATCAACAAAATATTCCTGATGTTTGGACTAAATTTTCTCGAAAATAAAGACATAATTTAAAATTCCGTGACAATACGGAAATAGATTGAAGTTCTGTGATTACAGTGATAGATAATTTATATGGTTTTGTAACAAATTGCTCGCTATTTTATGGCAAATGCTGAAGCTCTGCAAACCTTAACCAAACTTTAATCAAAGCACGTGTGTTTGGAATTTTGGGTATGGCTTAACACGACACGATCGGGCTAAGCCTAGGCAGATTTCTGAAATATAATATATATTTCCTTCGGCCACACACCCGCTTTACCTGACCCCTGAGAGCGGCCCGAACAGTACAGCGTAATAGACTTAGATTAAGGTAATATAAGGATAATATACAGGGTTGTTCACCACATACGACACGGAGTATTGTAACTAAACGATTAGATTTTTACAAATTGTACGTTTTGGGTTCGTTGAAGGACTATTAGAGCTACAATTTAAAAATCTTTTTACAAGATACAGAGTGTCCCAAATGAGTAAAAAATATTATAGTTGTATTTTTTTAAATGGAACTCCCTGTATATTATTCTATTTTTAGATTCTACGATTAAAATAAAGGTAAATTTGATTAAGGTTTATCACACTTAAACCTTACCGTTTTTGAAATATTTTCAATTTTATAAAATTGCAGTAAAAATGTTAAGGCTTCATTTCTCCAAGGGTATCAAAGTTTTTAATACTAAATATTTACTGAAGATTATTTATTGATCAGATATTGTCTTGCAATAATAAAAATTTTACTACCTTATACAGAGTGTCCAAAAATTTATATTAAATAATTACTAGCTTTAAACGGCAACAACTTGTTTAATTTAAATGGAACACCCTATATATTTTACGTGAATCAGATGCACAATGTAATTGTCTATCAAATTGTATTGTTCCATTTTACCCATCTCCTCAAGTTTTCATAGAAAATGCATTTTCTTATAATTTAGACTTCATTTATCACTATACCCATGGAATATTGACATTTTAGGTTATTTTTTTAAAGATGTAACAAATTTTCAAAGGGTACAGATACTAATATTGTCGATATAGTTCGCTTATTTAATTAAAAAAATAAAAAAACTGTTTAAATATTTTTTGTTACAGAGGACCAATTAATATGATCTCAGTATTTAAACTACATTAATTGACTGTTTACGTTGTAGTAATAATTGCTCCAAATACTAAAAAACTGAATTTTGTGTGTGTATTAGACAGTGTGGTAAAAAGTAACACCTTATAAATTTTATTTCATTTATTGACGAATGCTTATTATTTATAAAAACAGACACATTCATTTTCATAACTTATTATTATATTGATTTCTGAGCCAAATCCACATTTATTTAGAATAATTTATTAATTAAAACAATTTAAGTTTTGGTGTTTTTGGTAGGAAATAATGGTGGTATATTTAATTGGTATACTCTTTTACAAAGATTTAAATAGTGTTTTTTGTATGCCAATGGGCTTGCAATATTTACCACCTGTACATTTTGTACATATTATGGTGCTATAAAAAATCTGAAATGTCAATATTCCATAGGTATAGTGATAAATGAGGTCTAAATTATAAGAAAATGCATTTTCTACGAAAACTTGAAGAGATGGGTAAATAATGGTATAATACAATTTGATAGACAATTACATTGTGCATCTGATTCACGTAAAATATATAGGGTGTTCCATTTAAATTAAACAAGTTATTGCCGTTTAAAGCTAGTAATTATTTAATATAAATTTTTGGACACTCTTGTAAAATTTTTATTATTGAAACACAATATCTTATCAATAAATAATCTTCACTAAATATTTAATATTAAAAACTTTGATACTCTGGGAGAAATAAAGCCTTAAAATTTTTACTGCAATTTCATAAAATTGAAAATATTTCAAAAACGGTAATGTTTAAGTGTGATAAACCTTAATCAAATTTACCTTTATTTCAATCGTAGAATCCAAAAATAGAATAATATACAGGGTGTTCTATTTAAAAAAATACAACTATAATATTTTTTACTTATTTGTGACACTCTGTATCTTGTAAAAATATTTTTAAATTGTAGCTCTAATAGACCTTCAACGAACCCAAAACTTATAATTTGTAAAAATCTAATCGTTAATATAGTACAATACTCCGTGTCATATGTGGTGAACAACCCTGTATATCTCTATAGACTCTTAAGGTTTGACATACAGACCGGATCACCGTAGTAGTAACATAGGCAGAACCGGACGAATTAGCGTATACCCGTCCGCCGAATAAAAAGCAGGCGAAAAAATGCGATAAAATAAAAATAGGTAGATATGTGATAAGAATGTTTCAGAATTTGTATTTATTCGTGTTTTAATAGCCAAAACGAATACATAGATTCTCGCGACAGTTCTCGTGTAAAATTTATTTTTTAAGTAAAATAATGAATGTTTGCGAAGTTCGTGAAAAAAATTAAATTGTAAAATGGTATTTCCAAAATAGGTCTTTTCGGGATATACAAACAATTTTTCCACAAACTTTTGTAGACAGGCCAATTCCATCTTTACCTACTGTATCAAGAGTTATTAATAATTTTGTAACACATGGGTGCGTGTTCTCACAAAAACAAAAAAGCCCGATGTGTTGATTAGTGAAGAACAGGAGTTGTGCTACCGCGGATCAAAATCCCCCGTTTTCAAGTAATCAAATTGCTGAGGTGGTTGTCCTGCCCACAATGCCCGTATTGTTCACGAATATTTGAACAATACTTTTCCCAACCGTTTAATTAGTGGATATGGAACTATTTTGTGACCCGCTAGATCACCAGATCTTTCTCCCAATGACTTATTTTTGTGGTGTTATGTAAAATCCAAAGTGTATGGTCATAATAGGGCTAATAATCTGGATGAGCTTCAAGTAAAAATACGAGAGGCTTTCCAAACTATTAGTCCTAATATGTTAGGCAATGTCAGACGGGGATTTTACGACCGCCTAGGCTTCTGTCTAGCACAAGAAGGTGGTCTTTTTGAACACTTGTTATAACTTTTTTTTATTTAGAGTAATATTTTAGTTTTTTTTGGGTTTAGCGAATTTATTTATTTTTAGTTTTGGCTTGTAAACACACTCAAATAATAAATATTTAAGTATTTTCATATTAAATGTTACCTTAAGTGAAGGTAAACACTTAAAATGAAAATAATAAATACTCGGCACTCCTCGAGTCGTATTCCTAGTCTGTCATGACAGACCAGTCCAGGCACCACTGCAATTGCGTACTGCCTAACCAACCGACTAGCCGGCAGTGAATCTCGAGTACGAACGCAAAACGGGTAAACGTAAATTCGTCCGGCAACTTGCTATGTTACTAGTAGCCTGGTCTTCTCTGTATATAATGTACCTACCATTAAAGATAATGGGGGACTTTGTTCTTACGACAGCAATATCTCCAAGAGCGGTGGCCGTAATACGTTTTGGATAAACATAGTGGTTTATTACGACTTCTATAGGTATGATTACAGGTTTCGGTGCACAAAAATCACCTTCACAGTCTATCTCAGTGGCCATAAAATTTTCTCCTACTAGGATAGACTTGCTAAAATACAAAAAATAGTTTTTTTCGAATTATTGTTCGAAATTGATGAACTGTGATTGAATGATTGATGAACTGTGAACGAAATTGATGAACTGTGAACTGAAATTGATGAACTTAGTAACATTGTCCGTCCAAACCTAGCTTGTAAAAAGTTTTACATGTGTTTCCGCCCTTAAATTTGTATTTTTTCAGAAGATCGTAAAAACTGTTCAGAATGAAGGACCAGTTTTTCGGAGAAAAACTAAATATATTTCCGTTACGTTTAAAATCCCACGTCCATAAATTAATATAATACTTGCTTTGAAACTGCTAGAAACATACGACTAGCATCAATCATATAAGCAAAACCCCTAGAAAGCAATAAAACTCTTAGTCCGGTTTCAATTTGTCAAATATGGGATCCCGTGTGCAGATTTGTGATTGTGCCATACCTTAAAATCTTCAGAAAACCTTGTAGAATATGAATATTGATGGGTCCTCTCTCGCAAATATGGTAGAGGGGTATATTTTACCCCTTTAACACCCCTAAAGGAACAAAAATTAAATTAAATGAAATTATGGAAACAACTTGTTGCATAATTTTAAAAACTCTTTTTTGATTTAAGATGGGGTGAGTTTTACCCCTTGCGACGTAAAGGGGTAACTTTTAATGTATGCGTGTTACTTAAAAATACTATATTCTTGTCATGTTTCAAATTTTAAAATAAATCTAAATTAAAATTTGCACTGGAGTATCAGAGGGTGGTATTCACCCTTTATAATATGTCACCCCTAATATAAAAAAGTTTTTTTTATGTTTTAATAAATAAATAAGTTTAATAAATATCTAAAGTAAGCACAACTTCATTGTTTAAATAAAGTGTAAGAACATGCGAATGTAGTTTTCTTACCCCAAGCACACTTTCTTATTAAGTTGTTATAAAGTTATATTATGGTTTTATATTTTTCACTTTTTAGCGTTATTTTAATATTTTTATAATTTTTATAATATTTTTATAATGTTTATAATTTTTATAAAAACCAACTCAGGGATACTAGAGCTTAAACAAGATTTAAGCATGTTTTCACGATGCGTTCTTATATGTAGAAGTCGTGCTGATTTAAACTTAAAGGAGATTATTGGAAAATATAAATTAACTGCCTTGCCACGGTCTTTATTTTATCCCGATGGCTCAATGATTCATGGCCAGGGAAAAGGTAAAATTAGACATCTTCTGGCAAAGCTTGTTCACAATGATTCTAAAATTAGTGATGTGGATGTAGATAGCTACACTATAAGGCTTAAAACAGCCTTATAGTGTAGCAGTTGTCGATGGTATGGCAGAAATGAAAATGTTATCCTTTAAAAATGTGGAATACTTTTCTGATTTGTCAAATCAGTTTTCAACCAAGATTTTAAAAAAATATTCTACATATTCTGAAATTCACGTTGTTTTTGACTCGTATAAACACGACTCTTTGAAATCAATGGAAAGGGTCAGAAGGCAAAAAGGAGCAGACTCTATACAATATATAGTTAGTGATAAAACTAGTCTTAAAAACACAAATCTAAAAACTGCTCTCATGCATCGACGAAAGGGGAAATTACACAATATTTCTCAGAACATCTAATATCACTGGGAAATGAAACTAATCGCAAAGTGTTATGTTCCTTGGAAAATTTCATATTGGCTATAACTACTTGTGACAATATGACGGACTTGCAGAGCTCACATGAAGAAGCTGATCCAAAATTAATACTTCATTCTGTACATGCGTCTAAGAGAGGAGTCAATAGGATAAAAATATTTTCACCAGATACTGACGTTTTGTTACTTGCTTTGAGACGTTTTCCTTTGTTTCCAGAAAACACAAACTTTGTAAGCATCGGATCAAGTAATCAGGAAATACGTTTACGACCAATTTATGATTCGTTGGGAGAGTTAAAGGTAGAAGCTCTTCCAGGACTTCACGCATTGTCAGGAGCTGACGGTAGTGGTACAAGGTAAATCAAAAATTAGCTTTTGGAAAAAGTTTCTAACAGCTCCTCCATCTACACTTCAGGCGTTAGCTGCTCTTGGGAAAAATGAAAGATTAACTGAATCTGTTATTGAAGGAATCGAATCTTTTATTTGCAGTGTGTATTCATCAACAAAGAAAAGCTTTAGCAAGTTATCCGACCTGAGATGGTGGATCGTTAGCCAAAAACAAAATTCCAGCGATAATATGCCACCAACCTTAGTAGCTCTGAAACCAGCAATACTGAGATGCCATTATCAATGCATGGAATGGTATAGAGATATACTTCCCCATCCTTGTTTACCACCACCAGCGAAATATGGGTGGAAATTGGTTAATGGTGAATTTGAACCCATAATGGGTGATCTTTCCTGCGCCGCTGATGAAGTGTTAAATTTAGTGAGATGCTCATGTTCCAAAACTAATTGCTCCCAACGCTGCAAATGTGCCACTTAAGTGTGGTATGCACAGAGATGTGTGCATATGAAGGAAACGTTGGTACTTGTGCAAATGTCGGTTTTGTAGAGGAAACCAGCTTGGATTCGGAGGACTCAACGGATGACGAGTGTTATACTGTTGGATAAAATTGCCCTTGCCCTCTCCCTCTTGCTACAAAAATGCCTCATTTAACAAACATTTATATACCGTTTCTCTATCTCTGTTTAATTTGATATATAAATATTAATGAACATCTATATAAACATTCATCAGTGTTTCTATAAACATCAACACTTATATAGCCAAGAAGGTTTTTTTAATACTTATTGCTATTTAAAACAAAACTGACATTTATAGGTTAGGCATTGATTATATGGCGTAATCGTATATTTTCAACCCCCAATGATTTAGGGGTGGAACAATTGGAAGTATTTACAAGTTCCAAAAACAGTTTTGTATTAAAAAATACTCGTTGTTAAAATTAAAATATATTCAATACATTTTATTAAGCGAATTTCCATTATTTTACAAGGGGGTGAATATAGGGGGTTGTTTCTTCCCTCAGACGCATTTGCGAGAGAGGGCCCATCGATTCTCGGAATCTGTGTGGTATTATGAAAATTTTAAGGTATCGCCCAATATTGTATCACAAATCTGCAAACGGAATACAAATTCAAATCGGACTATCTAAGACGACACCCTTCTCACGATAGAACTCCCACGAGCCAATACAAACAGATTTTGGATAAAATCAAGTATAATTGTTAATTTAAATATTAAAGTAAAGTTCACGTAATGATATTCTGAAAGTTAAGGATTGTCCCCCTTTTTTTATCCAAAATAACCAAAATTTTGTGAAATAAATAAACATATAAGATGAAATAGGGAAATCTAATGAAATCAAATTAAAAATGTGATTTTTTTTTTAAGGACAGATCTTGAAATATATATTAGTTAGGGTTAGATTTAATCATGTGTAATTGTGTTTACGGTAATTATAATATTTACACGGATATTAGTAATAGTTTGAAAAATAAAGTAGAAATGGTCATAGTAACGACATCTATGAAAAGTAGGGTGAACTAGACCGGGAACGACAGGGTAGTTGAAGTTTTCTCAGACCAATCAAACGGTTCCTGAAAAGCGAACCCGGGGAGGATTTGAGAATGGCTCGGTTTTTGGTGGTTCCCTATTCTTTTTACCCACCCATTTTAAAGATTTCGAAGGTTAGGAAAATAGTTTTTTGGATCAGTTCGGTACTGACTTTTAAATTAGACGGTCGAATTTACTCCGTGTAGAACTTATATTATCCAGTGGTCTTTTTAATTATTTTAGTAAGTTCTCTATCTAAAGATTTTCTCAAATGATATTGACTCAAGTTAGGAAATTCTAAACTTTTCAGGTATAAAGATTTTCAATTGTTGTTTTAGATTTTCTCTAATATTTTTTTCTATATTAATGATCCAAGACTTTCTGTTCTAAAGGCTTTAGTAAAATTTAAATGTCATCGCATAAGTGATTATTTTGCAATTGTTCTTTTTATTAAATTCTAATTTAAATTTAATTGTTCAGTTAATATTTTTTTAACATATTAATTTTCTTACAACGATAATTCTAAGTGATTTGAATTGTATGTTAATTTTAGATAATTTAGATTAGACTAATAAGAAGAATATTTTGTATTTTTAACTTTATCATCTCTGAGTTTTAATTTCATTCATTAATTATTTTTTATTAAATTTCTTTCTTTTTCTTTATATTTCATTAATTATAAATGTTTTGTTGTTAATTTTTTTTCTTTATTTATTTATTTATTTATATTAAATATAGTTAGGTGTTCTGAAAAATCGGCATTTTATTTCTTTGTCTCACATTTTTACTAAAATATTAAGCTATTTAAAAGAACACTGTGATAACCGGTCGAGTGGTTCAATCCAAAAAATGAGTCCAAAACCGAATGGGTAGATCTACAATGGGATCAACGAAGTCTTAGACAGGTTCCTGTTGTTGATGTATTGTTGACGGTTGTTGACGTAATAAGGCAAGTGGCAATAGAGTTTTATATTAACTGAATTTAGAAAGAATCCTTAACATAAAAGTGCCATACCTTAATTTCTATTTTTAGCTGGTTATATTTTGTTTTTATATATAAACTATAAACTATAGTTACGCTCTAAAAAGACGGTGTTCTCATTAATCCAAGTTTTGCCTACCGCTCAATAATTTATCTTAATTATAATTATTATATAGAGGCCACACTACCATAACGGACAAATCTTGAAAGTTTTGTTACACCGTCAATTGAAGTCAATCGATTCAAAATTATGTTATCTTAGAAAATATTAACGAGTGGGAGCAAAATAGTACTAAAATAAAAGGTTTTTCAGTATTTTTCTTTGAAAGATATTTCCCATTTTAACGTACAGGGTGTCCCACTTTAGTTGAAATAATACAGTTATTCATCTCCGTTATTCGTAAAGATAGGTGTGGTTTGCACAAACCTGTGCCACTTTTTTATCAAACGGAAGATGCCGTAAACAACATTTTTATAGCCATCTTCGTTTCTGAGCTACAGGTCTTTTTGAAAATTTTGCAATTTGGGATAGCCTCTGTATCACCGTTGTTATGAAAGGTATCGAGAAGGTGAAAACTGATTCTTTAGAACTTTTTACGTAGAATACAGTGGCGTAGTATATTTTTGTTCGAAACAAATATTTTTGAAAAAGTGAACTAAAGTTATGTTTTTTTTCAATAGAACACGCTCTGTATATTTAATAAATCATACGATCCGTCTAGCTACGAGCTTTCCAAAAATATATGTCACCCTATATTTATTTTCACTATTTACTGCAATATTTAAAAGATATCATTTTCTTATTAGTAGGCCGTCATAGACAACAAAAAAAAATCAAAATGGTATTTATTAAAATACTCATACACATATTAATATTTTATTTGGGACTGAAATATTTTACTTTTAAACTGTTACTACTGAATCTTTTATAATATTTTTCCTCTTTTTTCATAACGGGATTTATTATATCGGGATGGGTTTGTAAATATGTAAAAGCTTGCCTGATAGCATTTTGCGGGTTTTCATTTCAGACATTGTTGTAGTTACCACGATATATTTCATATTTCAAAAATCCCTAAATACAGAAATCGAGAATGGACAAATCCGGGGATCATAGAGAGGCTATCATATGGATCCATTGGTCCCAGTTCATTGATTGATTGATTTTCAAAATTATGAGAGGAAGCCCCATCTTTCTGAAAGTATATTTCACGTAAATTAACTAAAGGAATAATATATTCCCTACTATTTCTATACTATATACCTAATAATACATACTATGTAAAAGTTCCGGCACGGTAGCTTCCAAGGCTTACCAATAGCGGTAGAGAGTTAAGTTTCCCTGATATAAATAAATAAATAAATGCCTTTATTGTCAAAAAATTTTTCAATTTGTAGACAAAGGTAAACTAACAAACAAAGTAAAAAAACAAGGTACACAAACAAACAAACAAAAGATAATACAAAACATTATACAAATAATATTGTCAGTCTTATTGTTAAAATAAACATTTATAAATGTTTATAATGTCAAAGAACAAAAAATAAAAATGATATTCAAAAATATTTAGCTAGTTTATAGTAAAATATCAATGACCTCTAAATAAATTATATATAAAGAATTTATTAGTGGCTCCCAGAATAAAACAAGAGACATATAGCAATATACTTTTAATTATTATTAGTTAATAAAATTGCCGAAAAAATGTTAACGCGTAAAGGAGAGCGTAATTAGGGCGTTGTTGGGTGCAATAACATTCAATCACTCAACTTTCCCGGATATTCAACATTTTATAGCTTCATAGTTTCTCACACCGATCTGATCAAAAGCAAAAATGGATTTGGATAGAAAAATGGATTGGTCCGCTCCACGAACTCAAAGTTTTTATCCGCTGACCAAATCCTTAAACGAAATCCGCAGGCCACAACTTCTGTTGAATGGGGTGCTAATGCCTTTTGTCATTGCTTCGCTCAAAATCTGGTCACTTTATTCAGCCAATACATCAGTTGTTTGTAAATTAGTTATAATTATTTATTTTTATTATAATGTTAAATTAGTTATAATAAATTTCTGCTTTTAAAAACTAATAGAATGTCTAGTAATACTCACATATCTCTCTTTAAAACGCCTGCATTGCAGTGAGCCGCGGTAAGAACATGCCAACGGTTTATGATAGATCCTGCGCATCCATAATAATCTGTTTTATTATCACTATAAATCAATCGAACAAGCCATGGAAATTGTCCTAAACCGGCCTCTATGCCTCCTATGATTTTGTCGGTTGTTATACCATAGCCGCACGATTCTTTTGGTAAGTACTGCCAGCTCCTATGAAACTTTAGACGTTCTACTGATTTATGAAAAAAAAAAGATAAAACTTACTAACAAAAACTAAGTGAGGAATTTTAGGATAAGAGCTAGCAACGTTTTCGAGAAAGTATTTTGAGAAAGCTGGCTCTTTAATATATCTTTTGCTATGCTCTCTGGAATAGCGTGCGAGTCGTTGTCTGTTTAGTCGATTTATATTCAATTCTAGTAATGAATATAAATCGAACAAGTCTCCATAGCGCGGCGCATAAATGTTCCGCCTATAACGCGAGAAGTCCCGAGTTCAATACCAGCTCGGGGTAAACTTCTCTTTATTTTATTTTCATTTTTATATTCTGAAAGAAAAGTATTAAATAATTGTTTTTTTAATCACCAGAATTACTTAATACTTTACTATCAGAATATAAACTAAAATAAAATAATTAAAAGTTAACCTCGGTCCGGTTTTGAACTCGAGACTTCTCGTTTTATAGACAGTCCGGGGACATACTGTATATTACTAAGAATTGTATACTCTGTCCAAGATCGGACTGGCCCAGAGGGGACCGGGTGACATTGTCACTTTAAGGAATTTCCTCAAACCTAGGGTAAATGGGAAACTATGGCTTGATATTAATATAAATTAATAATTTACAATAGAAGATAAATATAAGAACATAGTTCGAATTTTTTGAATTCTATGAAACTAACCTATCCACATTTTTTATACAGAAAATATAAGTTAATATATCGATCGTTAGTGCTGCTATTTGCCTTATCTTTTCCTTGACTAAATTTGATTCTGTCCTTAAGATAATCAATATCATCATTTTGTTTCCCCTCGTATAATTGACAGATGGAAAATGGCATCTTTAATTTAGAAAGAGATGCCAAAAAGTCAAATTTAGCTACAAATTTCTTAAAAAATGATGAAAATCGGCCCATTGGAACAAAATATATTAAACTTTAAAATACATGAAAATTTTAAGATGCCCGTTTTTCGTGTCACTGAGTGTAGTTTATTTTTTATGCTAATCAAAATACATTTTTGGGAAGGTATAAAAAATTAAAAAATTTGACCAAAAAATAATTCCGTATAAATTAAAATCCTCTTTTCTATAAGATTTCAGTGTGAACTTAAGAATATATTAGGGGGAATAGTAAAATATATTTGCTGGATCCATACTCACAGTCTAAGGTCCCTGATAGGGCAATACAAAGAACAAAAACTACCAATGCATTGATATTCATCGTCAAATTACAAGTGCGTTTGATATATTTTTTATATTTTTTATGGGCGTGTTTTATAGACGTTAACTGTATTTTATGTTATATGAGAAATTCAATAAACGTCGTAACATAATATTATCTATAGAAATAAATTCAATTTTTATTGGGATAACAACATATTATGTGAACTGATTTATACAGTATTTATGTATTTTATTTTCACTTGTTCGAAGCAAAAAAATGGGAAACTTAAACTAAACCTAAAAAATGCAAAATGTACCGTATGATAGAAAAAATTCGCTGACCAGTTGGTTTGGAAATGACGATCGATGACAGTTCCCATATAATTTTACATACAAATATATCAATTTTGACCTACATTAAAATATCTATTAAAAAAAAATATTTAGAATTTTGTGTAGAATTAAAAAATTGTAAAGCTGACCCGTCAAATGTTGTTTTGCCTGCATATGTTATCTGTGGTTTTCCCATATAAATATTTTTTATGGCACAACAGTTATTTTAAAACAAAAATAATTTTGGCTTCCATAAGGGCTTCCATTGTCTTTATTTATTTTATTTACACAACGTTTCGATTAGAATTATCACTGACCGTTATCAAGTGTGAACTAAAACTACTGAGCTCAATATACTAGAGCCGAGCATTCATCCGTAAATTAGTTGGGTGCAGTCAAGCATGAGGTTGTCCACCAAGAATACCTGCATTGGAGCGTTTTATGAGTGGTTACTATACTGTTGAAATTTCTTACGACCATTTTGTGTTATGGTACTTGGACCACACGTGATCTACAATGCTAGATTTCATTGTTTCACCATTGTTTCACCTCTTTGCGTATGTTTTTTTATGTTCGTCAAGTCGTACATGTACAACGTTTTATCTCTCCAATATACGACTCACCGCACTCGCAAAGTACCTGATGGGTAAAAGAGTGCATCTACTCTTTTTCTTGTTTTAATGATTCCGGTTTTGTTTTTGTTATGACACTTCTCAGAGTAGCCCCAGACTTAAAAACAGTTTTAATTTTATATTGCTTTGCTATTCGCCTGATCTTCTTCATGTCCAACGATCCATCATGGACATCCATCGATGTTCCTTTCACATATGGAATCGTCACGAGAGAGAGAGAGAACGTCCTCCTCAGGCTGGAGCACTAATGTCTATGGTTTTTGCAGAGTAACCATTCTGAAGCAAATCCGTTTTAATATTACTTATTAGTTCAAAATTCAGAGATTCTTGGTCACTGCATATAGTGCCCTTGATGACATAATGTTTTAATTATTCCTGTTTTGGTTGCTTCAGAATGATTCGATTGAGAATTTAAATATTGTCTATTATCTCGTATAATGGGTATATAATGTAGGTTCTATAAACAGCAGTGCTAATGGATTCATCGCTTCTATAACACTGACAAGAACATCCAGAAATGGTAGGCAGAAGTTTTTCTCTATCTCAATCGTGAATCTGATTGAGTTAGTTCGTGAATTAAGATGCTTGAGAAAGGAATCCAACTATATATCGGTTCCATTTTAGATCATAGAAGTATCGTCAACATATCGAAGCCAGATTTTGGGTTTAACAATTGCGGTACCAACAGCACTGGTCTCAAACCATTCTATAGTATAATATTCACTGGAGAGAGCGAGAAACCCATAGGTAAACCATCATTTTGAGCATTAAAAAAATATTTAAATTTAACTTTTCTTTAACTTCAAAATAAAAATTATGCAGACAGCACATCGGTCAAGCCCTTTCGGAGGAGTATGGTAACTAAAACTGTGACACGAGAATTTTATATATTATATAATATGAGTTGCTCTTAATGATGGGAAAAACCGATTAATTTCAATAATCGAGTACTCGAGTTTTAAGCGATTTTAATAATCGAGCGATCGCTCGGGCGAAATTTCGCTCGTATTTAACAATACGGTTTGTCGCCTGTTGCCGTCGCTTGTAAAGCGGCCCATACATTATCAAACAAATTGCGCAACGAAGCGATGCGCAACCTTGCGTTGCACAACTGATTCAGCGGTCCATACATTATCAAACAAGTTGCGCAACAAAGCGATGCGCAACGTTCCGTTGCACAACTGAATCACCCATGCACTTAGTAAAATTTTGATCAAACTTTTTATTAAAAGTTGTGCATTGTTTGAGAAACAATCATGTCCTCAATTGCCATTGCGACAATTATTATCGTATATACCCTAGATGATTTCAATGATACCAAAAAATGAAAAAGAAAACAAAGTATTTGGATGAAAGAACTAAAAGAACTAAAATATTGCACAACGAAGCGCAACACACACATACACTACACAACGCGCTGCGCAAACGCCTGTTGCTCAAAAGAATTCAAACATTCTTGAAACTTATCAAACAATTGCGCAACGCATCAAATGTTACCATACATTGGCAACTCGTTGCGCAACAGCCTGCGTTGCGCAGTTTGTTTCATAATGTATGGGCCGCTTAACGTCAAGCAGTAAGTTGCGTGCAAAGAGCACATATTCATAGAAGCGTCTAGGTATACCCCAACAATACATGCCGGAAAGCTTTGCGCATGGGCAATACATGCGAATGCCATTAGTCGTAACCTTAATTTAATGCTTTTGTGGAGGAACTAAGTAATGCCTAGCTATAGCCTGGCTACAAAAGCAGCTGTGGTTACATTGGTCAGGCGGTCGTTGCGGAACCGAAGAGTCCCCGATTCGATCTCCACAAATATAGAACTTTTTTATATTTTTTTTTTCAGCTGATTTAATTTTTTTCTTTTTTTTTAGTTGTCGGTATAGCAACGTTGATGACGTTGGTTAATCTCTTGGGTTATTTTTTTTTGTTTAGATTGCACGCGAAATACCCGACCCAAAACCGTGAATACGCTTGCACAAAGCTTTGCGTCATTTATTGTTGGGGTGTACATGGACGCTTGTCAGTGGCGGATACAGAGGGGGGCTCGGGCCCCATGGGGCCCTGCTAGTATCTATAAATTGGCTTAAATATTAGGCTTTTGGGTTAAAAATGGTGCCCCGAAAAAGCATATTCTACCTTACTTTTTGTTTGGGCCCCCCTAAAATAAATTCCTGTATCCGCCCCTGACGCTTGTATATTCTAGTAATGGGATAACTCGAGCGAAAATTCGCTCGATTATTGAAATAACCGACATCGCTCGATTATGAACGACCGATGCAAGTTACGAGTTATGAGCGACGAACGCAAACGATCCTATCGAGCGAATTTGCTACATACATTGCAGAATGGCAATATTTTAACAGTATTTTTGGTAAAATATCTTCAAACAACAGATTGTTCTTTTGATTGGAACCGCATTGTTAATTATAGGAGTGTACGACGTTATCTGTTACGTTACTGTGTGACAAAATTTTACCACCTACATCGACAAGGCTTCGATGCTTCGATGCAAGCGAAACCACTTGTCGCTCGTCGCTTGTTGCTGGCCACTATCATCGAAAGAATATGCGCTCTGCGCACTCAGCTTATTCGGGATTTACATGGGTCGATTTTCGCCGCATGATTAGCCCGCACGGCGAAAATCGTCCGTGTAAATATCAAATCGACTATACATTAACTGACTAAAATCGCAACCGCCAAAGTAGGGTACTATCCGACTTTCGCCACGCGATCATAGGACGCAAGCGACGGGGGACTAAAATCGACTGTGAAAATGCTTCAGTTCTAGTCGATTTCTCGCCGCATGAAAGTCAAAACTGGTGTAGTGTTTTCCGTTTCTTCTTTCTTTGCTCTTTAAGCAATTCCTCCGTATCTTTAAATACGAGCGAAATTTTACTCGAGCGATCGCTCGATTATTGAAATCGCTTGAAACTCGAGTACTCGTTTATTAAAATACGAGCCCAAACAACTAAATGTTCGGACAAACAAAAATTTATTAAAAACCTTTATTTTCATTAACTGAATTATTTACATTTAAGAAATACATTAAAAATATATTAAAATCTAAGATTTCTAATGAGTATTTAAATAGTATAGTTTTTATAAACATTAAAATAAACTGTAGGCCAATAAATAATCAAAAATATTGCACAATATTGTGACAACTAAATGTTCGGACACTTTAAAAAATAACTGTTCTAATATGACGTTACATCGACATGCACTTTTGCAACCACTGCAAGCCTGTTTGGCATTGTTTTTATTAATGATTGACATACGCCAGAGTAAAAATTTTGCCATAATTCACTGAATATCATCGTCAAATGGGCAACGGTCTTGGGTCGCACAATTTTTTTATGCCACATGTCTCGATAACATTAAGGTCCGGACTATGCGAAGGCAATGAGGGGACCTTGATGTTCATGTCCCTAAACCATTTTTTAATAGTTTTAGCCGTATGGCATGCCCCGCCATCCTGTTGAAATATAAAATTCATATCCTGGTAAAGGTCTCTCGCACTTCGCACAAAACTGCTTTTCAAAATTTCTTGTTATTTTGACACATTAGTTGTACCTTTCTACCGCCTCATACCTTCCTAGACCCATTGCGGACATAAACTCTAAAAGCACAATGTCTTTAGAAAATTCCACTGTCCATCTTTCATAAAGATCATGCATGCGTGCAGATGTAATCCTTGAACTTGCAGTTTGCGATTAGAATTATCAGCGTCGGATTGGAACTTCTGATGTCACAAACTACAAAAATGACATTAAGGTAAAATGTTTAATTATTTCCCAATCCGACGCTAATAATTCCAATCGCAAATGGCAAGAGCACGGATTACATATGCACATGAGCCACCTTAATATCGGTATAATAAATATAATCGAACACCGCTAGAGTGTCTATTTGATAAAGATTGCCTCAAAAGGACAGTGAAATTTCCTAAAGACATTATAATTTGAAGGTGTATGTCCAAAATAGGCCCAGAAAAGTATGAGGTGGTAGAAGGCATAATTGATGCGTCAAAAAATCAAAGAATTTTGAAAAATACTCTTGTGTCAAGTGGAAAAGACAAAGGTCCTTGTAACCAATTGTTCTGGTAAAGACCAGGATAATAATTTTATATTTCAACAGGATGACGGGGCATGCCATACGGAT